TTTCTCAATTATTTTTAATTTACTTTTTAGTAATTGTTGGCAGAAAAACAATACCATATCCTACGTGGTCCATTTGATAAAGAAATATTCGAATAATTCATCAATTTCCATTCACATCAAATTGAAATAAATTACTAAGCTGCTCAACTTATGCTTCATAGCATTAGACATTTATTGCCATAAACTTGTTGTTCAATCACTCAATTAAAACACATTTCAATAATCTTAAATAATGGAATCTAAAGAAAGAAAACTCAGAACACTTCATACAATAATAAACTAGACTGTTTAGGTTCATAGTATATAAAACAAGAATAGTTTATTCTGTATCAATGTATATGTTACTACTTAAAAGGTTATTGATTTTAATGGTTGGTGATATATTGACTTTGAAAATATCTTGTTTCTAATTTTCTAAAGGTATTCCATTTCAAGAAAAGTTAACGGAAATATTTAACTAAGCTTTTAAAAAAAACATGTAGACTTAATTTCTCTGAAAGGGCTTTTTCTTTCAATTTGTTTTTTATCACAGCCGGTAGATGTATTTCTCAGAACATAGCTCAAAATTATCAGTATTAAAATGATATCTTCTCTATATAAAATGGTATTAAAAACGCTTTCATGAACTTACTCGTAGCATCAAGTTAGTTCACTTTAGAAACCGTACTAACGTTGAACTGATCAGAAAAACCATGAATAGCTCAAGAGATAGAAAGGTTCTGTTTAAAGTGATCTGTTTAGGGTTAACTGGAATGTTTCTAACAATCTCTGTGACAGGAGAAAAGTGTGACGTTTCACCTTATGACTTGAACGACATGTTAGATGCTTTACCTACAACAGTGTGGGGAATGGTGAACCTGGTTAAAGAAAAGTTGAAAGGTCAGTTTTCTGGAGTTAAAAACTATTTATCGATTTTTGTTTTCTTCTGAAGGAAAAATATAAATCATCCACGAGCAACACATGTTTTTCAGTGTTTAAATGGTAAACCTAAGAAGTTTCTTACAAAATAAAAGACACGTGCTACTTCCTTTGTTACTAAAATAATCAGACGACTTTAATAATATATAGAAGTCTCAGTCACAGATATTAATTAATTTAACTAAATTTATTTTCATATATAAAGAGTGAATTTATATATCTAGTTCCAGTCAATTAGAATTTCGCTGTTGTTATGATGATTGCTGATTAGTTGTTAGTAATATATAAACTCTACTAATATGTAATACATAGTAAATTTATCAAATTATATGTTTTCCTCTTCAAGGAAGAATTATTAAAGTATAATTAGTACTAACTGGTCTCCAAAAAGTAAAATCACACATAAAGTTATAATTTAATAAAAAAACGAAAATGATATAGGTTTAAATACGAGTATTTATGAAATTTAAAGGAACACTTCCGCTACCCGAAAGCAAGAGATGCATCAACGAAACAATGTTTACAGACTGTGCAGATTTAAGGCGTAGAGGCTATGTTGAGAGTAACCGGGTATACTCAATCTGGCCACGGTTCTTCAACGAACCAGTTAATGTTGTATGTGACATGGACACAGAAGGTGGTGGGTGGACGGTAGGAGTGTGTTCCATATTTCTAAACTTGTTATAAGTTGCATAAGCTATTGCTATCTGATTAAAATGGATATATGAGTCAACTATACTAACATAACTTTAAAATGTTTGTGATTAATTATCTAATTTGGAATACAAATATAAGTAACAAGTTAAAATATTGTATACGGATAGAACTTTATTTCACACTAGTAGTATGGAAATAATTAGTTAAGGAAAATCAGTATGATATTAATTTTTAATATACGGAAGTCAAGTCATTTACATTAGTAATTATAAAGCAAAGTTTTAATACATTTTCTTTACCAAAGATAATCCAACGCCGCGGATACTATAACGAGAAACCTCAGGATTTCAATCAATCTTGGTATCAGTACAGCGTGGGCTTTGGATCACTGAACGAAGATTTTTGGCTTGGTTAGTATGCTTCTTCTTAGACCAAAGAAAATGTAAATATAGGGTTAGCATTTGTTTCAACAGGCATTTTTCCAACAATTGAGTGGCGTTTTTTTACCAAACAATACTCCTTTATTTCCTTTTCTTACGTAACCTATTCTGTAGTACGTAATAGTGAAAAATATCTTGGATTGTTAAAGTTAATGTATGTAATATATCGATGATATAATT